TGGATAGGGTAAGAATAAGTTCCATCGTATTCCACTTGAACCTGGTACTAGACCTATCTATATACCTGCGTACAGAATGCCTCATTCACAAGTTGCTGTCGCAGAAGAATTGATCAATCAAATGCTTGATGATGGAGTTATTGCACCTAGCAATTCACCTTGGAATGCGCCCTTGATCCTAGTACCTAAGAAGGATGGTACTTGGCGCCCAGTGATTTAGGAAGTTAAATGCGAAAACTATTCCAGATCGCTTCCCACTTCCTGTACTGGGTGATCTTTTACGTAACATTGGAGATAACAAAGTCTTTTCAACCCTGGATTTGTTACAAGGGTTTTGGCAAGTCCCTCTTCAGAAGGACAGCCAAGAGCTAACTGCATTCTCCACTCCTACAGGTCATTATCACTTCCTCCGTATGGCGTTTGGATTACGATCCTCCCCTATCACGTTCTCAAGGCTCATGACTAATATCTTTAGAGGTCTCATAGGTAATGCACTTATGGTGTACTTAGATGATGTAATCGTCATCTCTAAAGACGTGGATACACACTTGAAAAGACTTGATTTGACAGACCACGCTCCACTGATACCTTTATTCCAGAACAAACAACTTACTGGAAGGTTAGCCAGATGGACCTTGACTATCCAAGAGTTCAATCCCACCTTTGAACACTTACCTGGCAAGTCAAATGTAGTCGCAGATGCCTTATTGCGACATGTTAGTGTAGTAACTGCAGACCCTCCATTTAGTGCTGAGGATGTAAAGAATGCTCAACGAACAGATCCCATGTGGTCTGGTGTGATTCGATTCCTGCTCCAGGAAGATCTTATTCTGACTGTGAAGCCACCAGCACCCATCAGTGACTTTGTCATGAACCAAGAATTACTGTATCGAACAGCCGAGTTGGGTACTCCTAGCAGAAGAGTATACCAGTTAGTAATTCCACAGTCACTAGTGAATGTAGCCTTACAGCTAGTTCACTATGTACCAGGTGTTGCGCACCCTGGTATGGATCGTTCAGTAAAACAAGCCAGATTGAAATACTTTTGGCCTCGTATGGCAACTGATATTTCTGAGTATGTTAAGAAATGTAGTGTCTGCATGCAACATAAAGGTAATGCTAATGGTCCTAATCCAATCCAAGTGTATCCAACCACTAGCGAACCGTGGGAAAGAGTTGCGCTAGATTTGTTAACTAATTTCCAATGTTCCCTCCAAGGCAACAAACATCTGTGTGTTATGGTAGACCATTTCACCAGATATTGTGAGTTAGTTCCTATTGCAGATAAGACTGCCGAGACAGTAGCTAAAGCGTTTAAAGAACGCATTATCTGCAGGCATACCACCCCTAAGTCCCTAGCAACAGATAATGGAGGTGAATTCTGTAATGAGATTCTTGAAAATTTGTGTACCTTGTACAAGATCTCTAAATCCACCATTGTTCCTCATCATCCTGCCAGCAATGGGTTAGTGGAACGTACCAATAAGAAAGTACTTGATGTCTTGAGAGACACTATCAATCCCAACAGTGAAACTTGGGATGAAGTTATACCTGATGTGCAGTTGTGCTATAAATCTGCTTACAATGTTTCTATAGGTGACACTCCACATTATGCATTGTATGGTGTAGATAAATGTTTGCCTTATGAGTTGCTATATTCTAATCCGAAGCCAAATTACAACCCTGATGATTTCATAGCAACTCATACCAGCTTAGCTCAAAGTGTTTTTAGAAGAATCCGTGGAAACCACTTCATAAATCAACAGCAGAATTTACAAGAGTCGCAAACACTCGAGCAAAGCCATCCAAAATCAAAGTAGGTTCGAGAGTTATGCTGACTAACTTTAACAAAACGTCTGCAATGCCTAAGCTTGATCAAAAGTTTGTTGGTCCTTATCGAGTAGTTGAACATATCACTGGTAATAAGTATAAGGTTAGAGAAATTAGTACTGGTCAGTATAAAGAATCGCATTTAGATCATAGAAGTTAGTAATGTGATGATAATGATGTTCCAACCCAGACTAATGTGACAGACTCTGACAATCCTCCTGATCCTGTACTCTCTACCTCTGATACTCAGTCAGACGATCAACCTGAATGTCGTTATTCCCTACGTACACGACAGGTATTGAGAAATCCTCAAATATCATTTGTAACTACCAATTCAGATTTGCCTCAAATACAACATGAGTTAGCCAGTGCAACAGAGTTTGATCCTCCCAGAGATGACACCCATTCTGCATATATCAATCTCACCCTAGCAGAGTTGGGGTTAAATGTAAATAACCTGTATAGATGAATAATTACAGTATCAACTTATCAGTATTCAAGAATTTTTTTTTTGTGTTCACGTTCTCTCCGAATTCTGAGAGTTAACAGTCCTTTCTGTTAAACACTTCTTTCTTTGTATATATTCCTTCCTCAGAATCCGTAGATCACATGAATACAGATCGATCGATCAAATTTTTTTTTATCATTTCTATTGTGTAATCCCAATGTTGAGTCTCATTCGATGAGTTGTGCTATATTATACCTTTACAGTTTCAGTTACGTAAGCTTTCATTCCAATGTTCTACTTATGTATGTTATAATGTTCAATTGTTGTGTACTTTGACATTGTATAGAATCAGCCCAAGCCGTACACCTGCCATCTCTAGTTTGTATTAGTTGTATGTCGGGACGACATACGTTAGCGTAGCCGAACTCTCAGTAGTAGTAACCAGTTACCAGTAACCAGTGTACCAGTAGATGACTCACTACCAACCGTCTCTGCGTGAATCACTGACTGTATTCATATTGCTGCTGACCATAGCAGGATTTCAAACACCCCCTCACCCATAGGCACTTGTGAGTCAGTCAGGCTAGGGAGCAGAGAGAGGCAGGACGGCTGTTGGCGCTTTCCCACACTTTCCGTTATATTATACATACTACCAGCCTACGTGAGTATTCTTATCCCATCCACGTTTTCGAAAACCCACATGACACTTTATGTAAATAAAAAATAAAAATGAAATTCATCTGCAAACCTGGAAACATAACTAATAAAGAAATGTTATTTTAGTGCCAGGAATGCCCGCACTGTTTATTCTGGACCCTATTCTGAAACTGGAATATTTAAAAATTTATTTGTAAACTGGCCAAATTACTAAATTCCGATCACATTTATTGGTAGTTGAAATAGTGATTGGGTCATTCTTGTGCTCAATAGTATAAAATGGAACACATACAAGTGAAATCGCTAAGATTTGGTCTAATGGAACAACAATGTAATCATCTGAAAATAAGGCTCAAGGTGGGCAAAGTCACTGATGCGTAATAGTGCGACAGCAAACTTTGTGAGAGCATAAATTCCTCATTTTTCATCAAATTTTGTACTTTTTGTTTATTACCTTCAGAAAAAGATTCTGCTAACCATGTTCAACAAAAAAGAAATGAAAGTTTTATGAATTCTTGACCCACTGTGGGAAATTTTTAGGATTGGGTGGGGGGGTTCTGTGACCCCTCAATGTTTAAAAACAATTTCCTGTCTGTCTTTTCTCATTCCTTTGTCTCCATCTTGTTCTGGTTTGTATCACTCTGTTTGCCTGTGTATCTGTTCCTCGTCTTTTTCTTTTTTGTTTACAATTCACTCCTTTTCTCACCTCAGTTCCTCTCTCCTGTCACTTTCTTTCTTCTATATCTCTCTCAAATTTCTTCACCCTCATGACACACTTCAAACTCTACCCTATTTTCACCTACAACTGCACATTCCTCTCTTCACGATGAATATAAAACAAAGATATTATGTTAATATTTTTCTCAATTACTAAATATCTTGTACATGAAACACTGCAAAAACTGATACTTACCTGAGATAATCCTCCCCAAGGACAGCACTGGACATCTCATGTTCACTGGAGATGTAATAAAGCTGCAAAAACGAGAAACATTTTATATTTTTTCTCTAGCTGAAAAAGAACAGTAAGAATAAATTAATAAAATAAAACTCAATGCAACAGAGATATTTAATCATATGCACTACTGCAATCCTACTAATTATCTTACAGAACTTCTTACACTACGCTAATACTAATAGTACATGTTTTTTTTTTTTTTTTTTTTTGTTTCAACAAGTCGGCCGTCTCCACCGAGGCGGGGGACCCAAAAAAGAAAGAAAAATCCCAAAAAGAAAATACTTTCATCAATCTTCAACACTTTCACCACACTCCACATTATCACTGTTTTTTTTTTTTTAGTACAATATGTACTATATTTATGTGGTATATTTCCTTTTTTAACATGTGGCTATCTCCCAAAGTAGTGACCCCCAAAAAAAAACACTTTTACAACCATCATTCACTCTATCCACTGTCTTTTGGCCAGTAGCATAAATGAAAATACAGTCAGATGCCCTTCCAAAACTGCAAATATCCCCACCCCTATTTAGAGGCATCCGTCACTGTTACTTCCGATCTCGCAGGACGCAAAGTCCAGCTAACCTTTTTCTGTAGATCTTCACAAATTGTGTTACCTTGCTCATACTCAAAGAGATCATCAGTCTAAAAAAAATTTGCCATCCATGACTCCTACACAACAAGCTCACAAGCACTCCGCTGGATGCCAAGCCCTTGCACACAAACCTTCTTTGACCCTCTTCCTTCCAACATTTCCTATGGTACCCGCCTACCTACCTTCCCTCTCACCACAGAATTTATACACCCTCCAAGTCATCCTAGTCTGCTCTATCTTCTTTAATTCCAGATCACCGTCTATAGACCCTCCTCAGCACCCTCTGAATAACACTTTTAGTAAGGCAGACTAAAAATTGAAGATTTACATTATTGCATAAATATTTTGTCTGAAAACCACAAGCCATTTTAGCTGATACTCACCTTCCTTTTAAGATAGAAATGCACATAGTGAGGGTGGAATATAGAAATATCGTGAATAATAAGTATGATGTTTACATGGAGTAGCACGAGGAGGAATGCTCACGAAGACAAGCTGGGGAAGATGTAGGTTCAGACGCATGGTGTCAGGAGAATCTCACCTCCCAGCCGTTCCAAAAGCTCAGGGTGGTTACAAACCTAGAATAGCATAAATCAAGCTCATTTAACATTTTCCTATAATGTTTAATACAAACAGATTGTGTATCCAAATACATAGATAAGTTTTTTATGTAATACTGATTTCATATATTTAGTGGCATACAAAATATTAGATTTACCTGAAAAATATGGTGCACGTGTCAGAATGCACTTAACATAAATTAAGGAACACATAGGATAACTCTCAACTCAAATAAGAATCAAAATTGTGTGTCTAAGGCACTGTGGGAAAGGAAAAAGTGACCCAGAATACTGTATGCCCCACCTTAGTCACCTCTTTGACTCTAGTTAAGGATCTATGAATAAATTTTAACTTTATATGCAATCTTCATCATAATCTATAATTTGCATTGCCCAGGCCTTCAGCCCTTCGGCACACCAAATAACTACCTAATTAAAAACTAACAATAGGATTCGTGGTTCAAATTGTAAACTTGATGGATTTTTCATGATCAAATCTCTCTTCTCTCGTAGTCATATTTCTTAAGAATTGTCAAGTCTTAATCAAAAAAATGGATGCCCAAGCCCTAAACATTTCAAAACTTTTATCCACTCTTCAGCATTCAATTCTTCCTCGCTCCATTCGCATCTCTAATGATATACACCCTCTTGGTCATCACTTACAGTTCCATCCACTCTAAAATGCCCAAACCACTTCAACAACACCCCTCTTCAGCCATCTGAATGCAAAATATACAGTCCCAAGAGAAGATAGCAAACTTACAGCAGTCCTGGAAAATTTTCCATCAAAATCACAAACAAGTAAGATGTGAATAGTCCATTATATTGTTTCTAAAACTAGAAAGTGCCATCACCTAGTGGACATTTATACACTAAAGGGCCAGTAAACTCTAAGGGAGGTAGTAAAACAACAGTCAAAATTATTATTTTACTTTCAACAGTGCACGAGAATTCCTGAAGGACAAAGAGGCACAGTAGCATGCCATGGAACAAAGCACAAATAACGCGTACAGAGGAGATTGAAACTCATGGCAATGTTTACGGTCATCATGGGACCATTAACTAATCACACAGGACGCGATAGGAGGTGAGCCAAAAATATATATCTGAAAGAGGAAGAGGGGGAAACAGGAGAAGGTAGAAAGGAGGAGGAAATAAGAATTGTAGTAGTAGCACAGTAGGTAGTAATAATAGGCAGCAGTATAAGTACTAGTAGTAGGTGTGGCAGTGGTACTAAGAAAGAACAGTGTATGAAAAAAAAAGGGGCAAAGAGTGGAGATTGTATTGAAATAAATAGGTGGTGGTAAGAAACAGTAGAAGTAACAGTGGAGCAGGCTATAGAAAACAAGATAACATAGAACTGCAGAAAGCTAATGGCCCATGAGGGTAGGACAAAATTCCTGTGGGACAAAACCCCCATAGGACAGAACACATTTAGGCAGGACAGGAAAGGTGAAGGGGGTAAGGTCAAGTCATGAGTGTTTTGAAGTTTAGAGCATTTGACAATGTAATGAGAAGGAAGGCATCTAGAGAGAGGCAAAAGCGCAGGACTAAAATCATAATTAGCAATGTAGTATACATAAAGAATGTTCATCAAACAAGATAACATTGACTGTAAAGGTCAGAGGAAGTGTACAAATAGAGCATTGACTTCAGGGAGTTTGTGTACATTAAGTAGGTCTTTCCCATAAGAAATGACTCACCCATATGTCTACCATGAGATGGAGGGGAAAAGAACCTGATGTATGCCACATTTTTTACCTATGTGTACTCTGCAGTGTAAACTGATAAACACAATGTGCATCAACAAAAATAACCATAAATGTTGTAACCGTGTTAAGGCAAAAATGTGTTTATGGATCATGTATTAACTGATGGTCTACTGTGCTGTATTCATGGACATCCTAATCTACTTCTCTTTCTCAGCTACAGCAATAGAAAAATTAATTAATTATCATGCCTACCTTCCTGAACTGCATGACAAGATTCATGAGTGATGAAGTTACAGAAGATTGCTGTGAAGATGGACCCATTGATGACCTCAGCAACTCATCAATACTAATTTTATTTTTAAGACCACTGTATAAAAACTTCTGTCGAAGTGTGAGGGGGCAGTACATCATTATCTGTAGGATAAGTCACAATGATAGCATTAGCAATAAAAAATGGTGTATACTGTACAAACACTAAATAAATCAATACATAATATTGCATGTGTATGTGCAACTGTGCATCCTTATTTTCCAGCCTCAACTCTGACCATTTAGAAGATCATAACAAGCCCAATTATTGTAAATACATATTTTTTAGAGCCCAACCACACCATAAATTGAGTACTTGTGCTGGTTTTGAGTTCTACATATAGAACATTATCCATGGGGAAGTGGAAGAGAATTCTTCCTCTGTATGCCAAGTGTGTTGTAAGAGGTGACTAAAATGCTGGGAATGAGAGACTAGTAATTCCTTCTCCTGTACACATTATTAAATTTCTTTTTAGGTCGCCCTGCCTCGGTGGGATTGTTGCCACAACAAACAGCATTTCTGACCGAAATATTGGTTTGATTAGGTTAATACTTATGTAGAGGCAACAAAATGTATGTCACATAATTGATAAATTAGACACATATGCAACCCTTGGGTATCTTTAATAGGGAAACGTTTCGCCACCCAAAAAGTGGCTCATTCACGACTGATGAAGCCACTGTGGGCCGAAACGTTCCCCACCTTAAAAAAAAAAAGATACCCAAGTGTTGCATATGTGTCAATTTATCACTTGTCGGTTCTCTGAAACATTCATCTACAATCATTGTCAACATAATATCATATTCATTGTTATCAACTTCTGGGAACAAAGTGTCTTCAAATAATGTTTTGCATCAAATGAAAACTGCATTTTATAACTTGACATGATCATTCTATAGGACATTGTGAAAGTGTGGACCCTCAAGGGAAGCAGTACATTTTTCTGCTCAACCTATGCAGATGTGAGAAATCTTATTCATTTCATGTGAATTTAACTACAAATCAGAAGCTGAAAAATGCATAAGTTGTTTTGTCGGTTGGTCAGGTCGTATCGGATCTCTGACTCTGTTCTCTCTGTCTGTCTCTCTCTCTGCTTTTTTTTTTTTTTTTTTTTTTTACACAGGTTTTACAAGGTAAGGAACCCAAGCTTTATTGACGCTATTTACAGGTTAAGGATTCCTACTTATTGGCAACTAAGTAGCTGTTACCTATCATCAGCTCATTTGAAGCATTTTTATTGTTATAAACATACAAGTAGGAAACAGAGAAGTTGGATCCATTGTGGGCCAGCATTTCATTATCAACGACTTTATCTCATTGACAACATTAAGCTGTACGAATGAGTCCCATACTCGATCATCTGGTATGTATGACATCAGATGGAGTGATGTTCTGGAGAAGTGGGTACAGCAGTTAAGTTGCTGCTTTCTCTCTCTCCCACATCTCTCTCTCTCTCTCTCTCTCTCCCGATCATCTCTCTCTTCTCTCTCGTCTCTCTGGGGGTTCGTCTCTCTCTCTCCTCTCTCTCTCTCTCTCTCTCTCTCTCTATCTCTCCTCTCTCTCTCTCTCTCTCCCTCTCTCTTCTCTCTCCCTCTCTCTCTCTCTCCTCTCCTTCTCTCTCCTCTCTCTCTCATCTTCTCTCTCTCTCCTCTGTCTCTCTCTCTTCTCCTCTCTCTCTCTCTCTCTCTCTCTCTGTCTCTCTCTTCTCTCTCTCTCTACCGTCTCTCTCTCTCTCTCTCTCACGTCTCTCTCTCTCTCCGTCTCTCTCTCTCTCACTCCTCTCCTCTCTCTCTCTCTCTCTCCCTCTCTCTCTCTCTCTCTCTCTCTCTGTCTCTCTCTCTCCTCCATCTCTCTCTCTCTCTCTCTCCTCTCCTGTCTCTCTCTCTCTCCCCGTCTCTCTCTCTCTCCCCATCTCTCTCTCTCTCCCTCTCCTCTCTCCTCTCTCTCTCCGTCTCTCTCTCTCCGTCTCTCTCTCTCTCTCTCTCTCTCTCTCTCTCTCTCCTCTCTCTCTCTCTCTCTCTCTCTCCGTCTCTCTCCCTCTCTCTCTGTCTCTCTCCCTCTCTCTCCGTCTCTCTCCATCTCTCTCTCTCTCTCTCCGTCTCTCTCTCTCTCTCTCTCCCCGTCTCTCTCTCTCTCTCTCTCTCTCCTCCCCGTCTCTCCTCTCTCTCTCTCTCTCTCTCTAAGAGCAGAGCCATGTTTCACCTAACAGAAGCTATCATAAACATTGTTCACTGTATGCAAGCATAATAGTGGTGCACATAATAGAATAAGTCATTTTAATAAAATTTATTTTCAAACCTGTGGTTAACATTAAATGAAACATCCAGTATACTAATAAGTTTAAATTTCTTCAAAACAGTCAGTGGCAGCAAATTACCGGCTATGAATTTCATTAACAACTGCCCTCTCAAACTTAAATATCTCTTACCTCAATCTTATCCGTAAGCTCATTCTCAACCTCAGTTTTTACTCGTCTCAACATAAATGGCTTTAAGATCATATGTAGTCGATTTAAATGTTCTGAAAAGAAGTATTTCACGAGATTACTAAAGATCACTTGCTCATTTTTGAGTTAACATATTATGTATCAATATTTCGATACTGTTGTTGTCATATTAACCCCTTCACTGCCATGACTCCCAAAATTAAGAGTTCTGACAGTCTAGCAGTTTTTAAAAAAAAATTGCAGTGCAGTAAAAAAAAATATTTCTGAAGGTAATGAGCCCAGATTGCAAAGTTCGCAATCTGGGCTCAATTTGATTTCCACTACTTTAAGACCTATTTTAGACTAATTGCACTGCTCAAAACCAAACCAGTTCCCAGCTATTTTTCTATTTCTATCAACTGAGTACAAGAAAGTATCCTATAAAGACTGCAGAAGTTGGTAATTTGAACAGTTTTACATAAAACTAAAGAAATTCTAATTTAAAAATAGAGTCCAACATAAACACTCTATGCATTTGAGTAACTACAGCCTCTCCTATATAACACTTGCCCTCCATTTTGAATCGACTATCACATAAAATAACTGAAAATCTTCCTATTTCTTGGCTATTAAAAAATAACTAAGAATGCTTGGTCCTCAGGGAAACTGCCAATAATTAATATTGTTGCTACTTTGAGGCCTATTTCAAGCCACTTCCAGTCTTCTGGTCTACCAATTGTCACCAAGTAACACCAATAAAAATGATGAAAACCACCCAGGAAAATGCCTAAAAGTCACTCTTTTAAATCAAACATGCCCACCACACAGATCCATTGTTGGATGTTCAGGCCAAAATTTACCAATCCCAGAAAATCTGAGAGTCTGTGATTAAGATATATCTACATAAGGGACACTGGCCTCAATGATGTAGTTGTACCTGACTGACAGTGAAAGGTTTAATCAATAATGGTGTAACCTTACTGTCTACCATTAGTATAACAGATTTATGAAACATGACAGTAAAACCCAATTTTCACATCTTTGTGTCAGTTGCTTTACTGATGACCTTCAATTACAGTACAATCACTCAGCCCTCTAAATTATACCTATGGTAACCCCACTCTGTCTCTTAATTTATATGCTCAAAAGTCTATGCATTATGTTCACACAACACACTGCTCTCAAAATGACATCCCCACTGCCTCCAGCCTCCTTTTTGCCTCTATAACTTCTTTGTTTCCACAGAAGTTGCAACACTCACCTGCCTTTTTCCTCCTTGTCTATTCTATGGTTCACCTCATCTTTTACAGACCTATCTGCCAACACGTGCACACCCATATACATATCTGAAAACATTCACTTCTTTCATACTCCTTTCCTCCAACATGATATCCAACCTTTCAACTGCCTATGCTTTATGTTACCCTCACCACCTTGCTCTTTCATATGTTTATTTTAATTGTCCTTTTACATTTTTTAACATGCTGGTCATGTCCCACAAAGCAGGGAATGATCCTTAAAAAAGAGGAAACACATTCACCTTCATTCACTCAATCTCTAATTTGTCAGACATGCACTGACATCACAGTTCAGATGTCCCTCTTAATTGCAAAAGCCTCACCTGTTTATTAGAGAGCAGGTAATATGATTCCCACTTCCATGACTCAAGTCTGGTTAACAGATTTATCTGAATCCTTTAATAAATGTTGCTTTGCTTATACTCCAACAGAATGTAAGGTCACAAAAATCACTTGAATCCATTCACTCCAATCTAACATGTTCACATAAGTCTGCTCATGTTCAAGCCTACAGCCCTTAAAGCTTTTCCCCCCTCCCTCCAACCCTTCCTGGGATAGCCCCTACCCCCTCCTTCTCTCCATCCCAGATTTACAAACTTTTCTAGTCATTCTATTTTGCTCCATCCTCTCTAAGTGCTAAAAGCACCTCTACAACCCCTCCTCAGCCCTCTCAATTACACTTTTGGTAACCAACACTTTCTAATCTCCACACATAATAATACCCATATCACACATTGTTCTCAAATATAACATCTCCACTGCCATCAGCCTCCTTCTTGCTGCAACATTTAAAACTCATGCTTCACACCCATGTAACAGTATTGGTACTATGATACTCTGGTACATTCTCTGGTTTGCTTCACTGTATAAAATTCTTAATTACCACAATGCCTCAACATGCCGCCTACCTTTTTTTTTCCTTCTGCTCTTAGGTTTACCTCATCTCTCATAAACCCATCCACAGACATTAACACATCCATACGTTAACTTCCTCCATACTCTCTCCCTCTCAATCTGATATTAACTTTTTTATTTCTTTAGATTTTTTGTTACTTTCATCAACTCTTTCCTATGTTTACTTTTAACCCTAAACGGTCCAAACAGATCGACGTTCAAATTCGTAGTGCTACAAAAGTAGATCTACTTTTTTTTACATATTTTCAAATATAACAAAAAAAATGTAGATAAAAGTTCTTTTACACGTTTTCAAATGTAAAACAAAAAAGATTACATTTTTTTACATACTTTCAGATGTTGAAAAAAACGTATATATACGTTTGGACCATTTAAGGGTTAATATCCTGCTTAAATGTACCCTCCCAAATTCCTCCATCAGCCTTTGCAATTTCTTTTCAGAATCTTCCATAAGAACCACATCACCAGGAAAGAGCAATCTCATCTTGGTGACATCACATCCCTGCCTAAGCCCTACTTTTACTGAAAAATAATCCCCCTCTCTATCTCTCTCTCTCTCCTAAATATCCTGAGTCTCACTATCTCTTTTCTGCTTTTAATAACCACTGCCACTGCTTTATTATGTTTTTTAAAATGCAGAGCAATATAGGCCTTCATTCTACTGAACATTTACAAGGGGTTCCAAACTAACAAACAAGTTGCATTCCTAGTGTTTCAATATACAAGAGAGTTGTTTCTAATCCAAACTAGTTTTCCCTATCACAAAAAAAATACTACAAAGAAAGATCATCTATCAAAAATCCCATAACTGTGGAACAGTATTGGCCAAGAAATTTTTTTATAACATTTTCTTGTGGCCTTTGTTCATAAGTACCCTTACATTACCTCAAATATGAGAACTTTAATGCACACAAATGCCAATATGAAGACTGGTTAAAGTATTTTACCATAACACAGTATCATGAGGAACATACTTACTTTCATCAACATGGGTTTTGTTTTCTACATGTCCTTCAATATCTTTACTAAACCATTCATTAAACCACAGATGTGAGTCAAAGAGTGTGGGCATAATAAAGTGTAGCAAAGCCCAAAGTTCAGCCATGCTATTCTGGATTGGTGTCCCTGACAACAGCAAGCGGTTCCTGCAGCTGAACCCTAGCAGCAGCTTCCATCTCTGACTGTTAAATAAATAAAGGTTATTATGACTATGAAAACAGTAGAGTACAAATATATTTATAAATCAGGTAATGTTAGGTGGTGCTGTTCGGCAGTGTTAGGCAGTGGTGTTAGGTAGTGGAGTGAGTTGGGTGTGAGTTGGTTGCGAGTTAGGAGTGAGCTGGGAGTTAGAGAGAGAGACCTCTTAGCAAAACTGCAAGCTCTGGGAACTGCAGGCTCTATGCTATGTCTCCTCACTGATTACCTTCTTGGTATATCGCTAAGGGTAGTTCTCAATAGAACAGAATCAGCATGACATCCTATTAGGGCAAGTGTTCCACAAGGAAGCGTGCTGGGACCAGTGTTATGGAATGTCTACTTCAACGACCTTCTTCATCTCATCCCAGAATCCCATGCATATGCAGACAACTGTACACTGACATTCACTTATCCAAAAGAAGAAATGCCAGACCCATTCTGCATATATCAATCTCACCCTAGCAGAGTTGGGGTTAAATGTAAATAACCTGTATATATGAATAATTACAGTATCAACTTATCAGTATTCAAGAATTTTTTTTTTGGGTTCACAGTTCTCTCCTCCGAATTCTGAGAGTTTAACAGTCCTTTCTGTTAAACACTTCTTCTTCTTGTATATATTCCTTCTCAGAATCCGTAGACCACATGAATACAGATCGATCGATCAAATTTTTTTTTTATCATTTTCTATTGTGTAATCCCAATGTTGAGTATCCATTTCGATGAGTTGTGCTATATTATACCTTTACAAGTTTCAGTTACGTAACTTCATTTCATTCCCAATGTTCTACTTATGTAGTTATAATGTTCAATTGTTGTGTACTTTGACATTGTAATAAATCACCAAGCCGACACTGCCATCTCTATTTTGTGATTAGTTGTATGTCGGACGACATAAACGTAAGCGTAGCCGAACCTCTCAGTAGTAGTACCAGTTACCAGTAACCCATGTAAACCAGATAAGAGGACATCACCTACCACCTGTCCTCTGCGCGTGGAATCAAACTGCGTCTTCATATAGCTTGCTGACCATAGCAGGATTTCAAACACCCCCTCACCCCTAGGCACTTGTGAGTCAGTCAGGCTAGGGACAGAGAGAGGCAGGACTGCTGTTGGCCGCTTTCCCACACTTCACTTTCCGTATAATTAACATACTACTACCAGCCTACGTGAGTATTCCTTATCCCATCCACACGTTTTCGAAACCCAGACATGACTCATTATGTAAATTTAAAAGAATAAAAATGAAATTCATGCTGCAACCTGGACACATAACTAATAAAGAAAATGTTTATTTTAGTGCCAGGAATGCCCGCACTGTTTATTTCTGACCCATTTCTACTGAAACTGGAATATTTAAAATTTTTTGGTAAAATTGGCCAAATTACTAATTTCCGATCACTTTTAATGGGTATGAAATAGTGATTGGGTCATTTCTTGTGCGCAATAGATAAAATGAACACAATACTAGTGAATCGCTAAGAATTTTTGGTCTAATTGGAACAATGTAATCATCTGAAAATAGACTCAGGTGGGCAAAGTCACTGATGCGTAAATATTTGCTGACAGCAAAAATTTGTGAGCCATAAATTCATCCAATTTTCATCAATTTTGGTACTTTTTGTTTTTATTTTACCTTTCAGAAAAAATTTCCTCTACCATTTTCACAAAAAAAAATAAGTTTTATGAAAATTCATGTACCCTGTGGGGAATTTTAGATTGGGGTCTGGGGACCCCTCAATGGGTTAAAAACAATTTCCTGTCTTGTCTTTCTCATTTCGTTTGTCTCTATCTTGTTCTGTTTGTATCACTTGTTTGCCTGTTAATCTGTGTCTCTCTCTTTTTCCTTTTTGTTACATTTCACTCCTTTCCTTTCTCCTCTCTGTTCCTCTTCCTCTCCTGTCACTTCTTTTCTTCAATATCCTCTCTCAATTTCTTCACCAACCCTCATACACACTTCACCCTAGCCCTTTATTTTTCCACACAACTGCACTTCCTCTCTTCCAAAAACCGATAATATAAAACAAAAGAATATTATGTTTAAATATTTTTCTTCAATTACTAAATATTCTTGTACAATGACACTGCGCAAACTGATACTTACCTTGAGAGTCATCTCTTCTCCCAAGACAGCACTGGACATCTCATGTGCACTGAGATAATAAAGCCGCAAAAACGAAAAACATTTTATATTTTTTTCTCTCTGAAAAAGAGACAGTAATAAAACTCAAAGCACAGAGAAGTGAGTTATTCATGCCACTGCATCCTACAATAATTATCTTACAGAAACTTCTTCCACTACTGCTAATACTAATAGACAATGTTTTTTTATTTTTTTTTTTTTTTTCAACAAGTCGGCCGTCTCTCCACGAGCAGGGTGAACCCAAAAAAGAAAGAAAAAAACCCAAAAAGAAATACTTTCATCCATCATTCACACATGGTTCCACCACAACACGCACATTATCACTGTTTTTTTTTTTTTAGTACATGTATGTACATATATTTATGTGTATATATCTTTTTTAACATTAGCTATCCCAATGTAGTGACCCTTCGACCAAAAAAAACACTTTTCCCATCATTCAACTCTATCACTGTCCTTGCCAAGGCTATAAAGATAATACAGTTCCAGATGCCTTTACCAAAACTGCCAAATATCCCACCCCTACTTTAGAGCACAGGCCACTGGAACGTCCGATCTCGCAGGACTGCAAGTCCAGCTAACCCCTTTTTTCCTGAAATCTTTCACAAATTGTTTACCTGCGCTCAAGACGCCAAGCGATTCATCGGAGGTCTAAAGACGAAGACTGGTGCCTGCGCGACGGTATGCATTTGGGCGCTGAGAGACAACTCTCAGTGCTGCTTCAACGAGAGTGGCGAGCGGGGTCTCTGCTGAGGCACAGTGGCGCGGAAACTGGCGCCTCTTTGAGTGGCACACGTCACTAACACTAGACAACATGTCGTGATTCCCTCCCTTCCAACTTTCCTAGGGGACCCCCTACCTAGCCTCCCCTCCACCAACAGATTTATACACCCTCCAAGTCATCTAGTCCCTGCTCTATCCTCTTCAATGTCCAATCACCTCAATAGTCCCTCCTCAAGCCCTCTGAATAACCACTTTTAGTAATGCAGACAATAAAATTAAGAATACATGTATTGCTAATATGTTGTCGTGAAAACCCACAAGCCAAGTAGCTAGAGTGTTAATTTCATACAGCAAGAGAAAGCAAGTGATTATGAGTTTCGTAGAGAACATAGAGGGTAGGGGGGTTACTCACCTTCCTTAACAAGAATGCACATAGTGAGGGTGGAATAAGAAAATCGTTTGAATAATAATGATGTATACTTGGATTCAGCATCGAGGAGGAATGCTTCACGGAGACAAGCTTGGGATGATGTAAGGTTATCAGGACTCATGGTGTATGGAGATCGCACCACCCGCCGTTTCCCAAAAAGCCAGGGTGGTTACAAACCTAGTAAACATAAATCAAAGCTCATTTAACATTTTCCCTATAATGTTTAAATACAGAACAGTATTGTGTAATCCAAATACAAAAGTCAAGTTTTATTTTATTACTGTATTTCATAATAGTTATGGCATACCAAAGGATATTGTTTCTGAAAAATATGGCACTGTCATAATGCCTTTACAAAATTATAACACATAGGATAACTCACACTCAAATAAAACAAAAATTGTGTGTCTAAGGCACTGGAAAGGAAAAATGACTAAATAACTGTATCCCACCACCGATTCACCCATTGGACTCTAGTTGGTCTATGATATATTTTACTTAAATGCAATCTGCAATCATATTCTATAATTTGCAGTGGCCCACCTTCAGCCATCGCACACTACCCTAATTCAAAACTAAACAATAGATCTGTTTCACATTTGTTCTTGTTTGGTTTTTCATGAATAAAATCCTCTTCTCCTTCTAGTTCAATATTTTCGTAAGATTGTCAGTCTTAACAAATGAGATGTGCCCAAGCCCCTAACATTCAAAACTTTTTTATCCACTCTTCAGCTTCAATCTTCCTCTCCTTTCCATCACTAATATATACACCCCTCTTGGTCATCACTTTTTCAGTTTTCCTCCTCTCTAAATGCCCAACCACTTCCAACAACCCCCCTCTTCAGCCATCCTGAATTCAAAATATACAGTCCCAAGAGAAGGATTGCAAACTTTTCAGCAGACCTGGAAATTTCCAATCAAAACACGAACAGAGGAGAGAATGTGAATAGTACCCATTATAATTGTTTCTAAAACTAGAAAGTCCATCAACTATGGACATTAATACCAAAGGGCCCGAAAACTCTAAGGAGGTAGTAAAACAACAGTCCAAAATTTTATTTTACTTTCAAGCAGTGCACGAATTTCTGAAGGACAAAGAGTCACAGTTAGCAAGCCTGGAACAATGCACAAATAACGCGTACAGCGGAAGATTGAAACTCAATGGCAATTGTTTTCGGTCCAACTGACCATTAACTAATCACACAGAGGAGCGCGAGAGGAGGTGAGCCAGAAAATCTATATGAAAGGAGAGAGGTGGGACAGGAGAGGTAGATGGGAGAAATAATAATTTGTCGTAGTAGCAACAGTAGGTAGCAATAATAGCAGCAGTAGTTAGTACTAGTATAGGTGGGGCAGTGGGTAAAAAGAAAGAAGCAGTGGTAGTGAAAAAAATGGGCAAAGCGAGGAGTTTTATTGAATAATAGTGGTGGTAGTAACAGTAGAAGTAACAGTGAGGAAGGCTTATTGAACAAGAGTAACAGAGGATACGCCGGAGAGCTAATGCCCATGAGGTAGGACAAAATTCCTGTGGGACAAAACCCCCATAGGAACAGACCACATTTATGCCAGGACGGAGGGGGGGGGAGGAAAGGTGAATGGGTAAGGTCCAAGCATGTGTTTGAAGTTTAGAGCATTTTGACAATGTAAATGAGAAAGGAAGGCATCTAGAGAGACCAAGCCCAGGATCT